TCCCACATACAGCAACTAGAAGGATGTGCAGCTGTGACATACAACTATCTACTGGGGCTTTGGGGGGAAAAAATAAATAAATAAAATCTTTAAAAAAAAAAAAAAAAAAAGAAGGAGCCTGAGAGGTCACTTAGTCCCATCTGTCTCCATCACAAGAGGGGCCCTAAAATGGCCCTTTCCTCTTTTCAGGAAAGGGCTGGTCCACCTTGAGGATCCTGGGCATGTGGGGAGAGAGCCCTGCTGCCTTACAGAAGAGTGTAGACTAAGTCTATGTGTTACTTATGTGGAGTGGGGTGGGGGAAGGTGGAATCTCAGCTTGACATGTTAAAAATGGATGTCGAGAAAAGAATGTGAGTGCTAGGAAGGGCAGGGCAAGTCCTTTTAAATCACTTTTTAAATGATAGTATCTGTAGTGAAAGCTGTGTTCTGTCTGAGAAGCCCTTGGGCTAGTGGTGCCGGGGTTGCTTTCTGCCTGGTGGTGTTGAAGAAGGTTTTCGCACCGATAGTTTAGGGCTCACTATGAATTTCCTGTATACAGGCTGTAGTAATGGTTATATTGGTAAACTACAGATTTGGTATTTTTATTTTTTAAGTACTATGTCTCATTAATTCGAAGCAATTCTGATTCAAAAATAATGACAGCTTAGAGTGAGTCCGAATTAAAGGTTATCTTAAGAAAGCTGTAGGGAAAAGATTGCTTAATTTTATAGTCATTCCCAGACATTTTGTGAACATCAAATTTTTTTTCCTTGAACGTATATGAGACAAGTCCAGTTTGAATTTATAAAAATTATGATTAATTTTTTTGTTTCACCTTATACAGAAGCTTGAACTAAGCTGAATGTTGGCCAGTAGAAGTTTTGGTACATTCCTTAATGAGTAGATGAAAATCTCATTAATTATATTTAATATTTTTACGTAAATAGTTTGTTTATTCAGGGTTTAATAATTATTGCTTCTTAAATAGTTACAATAGCAAAAGCATCTAAATCCTCTCATCTCTATTAATAATGCTTCTTTTCTTCAAATTATTTGGCCTTGAATGGAAAACAGTGGTCCTCTCTGCTGATCCCCCCTGCCCAGTATTAACAAGAGGTCAAATAGAGTGTGCCGTGTGCTTTTACGTACATTACTCCCCTTATAACGACCCTGAGCTGAAGGTCTGATTATCCCCTTTTTATAGAAGAGGAGGCTCCTCATCTAGCAAATGGATTGTAAGCAGCTCTCCCTGGCATTGGGTCATCTGCTGTCAAGGGGTCTTTCCCGCCTTCTCTCCAGTTACTCTTCCCGTGTCGACATCCTGAAGTTTAGGCACACTGTACTGTCGTTACCCAGGGCTTACCCTCTCTTCACTTTATATCCAATGTCACATGCATGTCTGTGCTTCTCCTCAGCTCTTATTTATTTGGTTCAAAGCATAAGTGTCCTTCTTTGTCTAGTTTGCTCCCTTCTCTGAACTTCTGTAGCACTTAAGGTGTGATTATTTTAAATATCATTTAAAAGGCTGGCATTATTTTAAAATATCTATCGATGATCCATTTTACACACAAGAAAATGAAGGCACAGGTAGGTTAAGTAGTTTGCCTGTGGGCACAAACATAGTGAACATGGAAAAGTGGTGCAGATTGCTCTTGTGGCTGTTGGGCTTTGATGGAGGTCAAAGTGGATATAGGGAGAGACCATTGAAGAGGGTATTGTAGTCATCTAGGTGATTGGGGCCTGAGCTAAGTTAATAATAATGGAGTGGACAAAACAGATGGCTAGGAAAAATAGGCAATATGAGAAGGATTTGGAAATTGGGTGTGAGTGGTAAGAGAGGGTACGGGGAAAGGATTCGTATTATATATTTTTAATGAGGGAGTTGGTCAGCCTAGGCCTTGTTGAGAAGGTGATTTTATAATATACATATTTTTATGTATTTTATATGTATATATATTTTTGTTTGTCATACGTTTAGTCTTAAACCTCACATTTGTCCAGAGCAAAACGTTTGGGAAGCAGTTGAAGGGGATTTCAGCTGCAAATAACCTGCAAGCTTGATACTATCTCTTATAAGAGATCTGGGACTAAGCAGTTTTCTTACTGGAAAGATGAGATAATACCTACCCTATGGGATGTTTCATGACTCAAATGAGAGAGCAGCTGGTCCTTGCCGAGGCTTGGTGATGTGTTTCTCATTCATTCATTCAGTACCTACGACTCCTTATGCTTAATAGTGTCAGCTTTGGGGAAACAGCGACACACAAGACCAACATGGTCCTTCTTCCCAATGAGCTTAGAGTTTAGCGAGGGAGGGTGACTGTCCACAAGCAATTGTTTAATGAAAATCTCTAACATCTCACAAAGGTGAAGCCCCGGGAACCTGAGAGCAGGGGAGTCCAACCTAATCTTGGGGCCCAAGGAAGTTGTCCCCGAGGATGTGACATTTTAGCTGAGTATTTAAGGATGAGTAGATATTCCCCTTAGTTAATTTTCTATTCTGATATATTTTAGTAACTTGCCTAAAGCCAAACCAGTAATCAGGACTCTTCAAACCACGCTGTTGCCTTCCTTGTGTAAAGCTCTTATTTTTTCAGGCAAATACATTCTTTCTGGTCAAGTTAAGAACGTGCATATGGTGGAAAGAAATGGCCTTTGGAGTCAGGAGACCTGTGTTCTGTTCGCTGACCTGCTCCTCCTGTGCATACAGGGAGGTTAGCCTCGGGGGGCATGCCCCCCTAGAACCAAGCCTCCGGTCACTCTGTGTGCACTGAGGCAGCTGTGTTCTCTGGCGGTCGGTTTGTTACCCTCAGATCCGGTGAATTCCCGACCAGCCCCTCTTCCCGTGCTCCCTTGGTTGGCCCGTCTTCCCAGCTGCAGTGATGTCTCTGATGCTCTGGGAGGTATTCAAGACTTCTACCTAAATGAAGTACCTTTCTTCTTTCTCTGTTTACATGATGTTTTTCTTAGATAGAGCAGCAAGCTGCTGTAAAATTTGTATTTTAGTGTCAGCTCGATCTTCCTCCTTAGCCTTGTGAGGGGACTGGTGTGTCACTCTTTTCTCAGTCTTATAGAAACTGCTGACCGGGACCTGAAGTGGTGGCAGAAGAGGGACTGTCATGGAGTGCACTGGCCAACGACCAGCACCTTTCAGACCCAGGCGAGCCCGTGGCGTGTTGTCGCCTCACTCGCCTGGGTGGCAGTGCTGATGCTGCGATGGGTTTATGCGTGTCCGTTCGTTCTGCTGCACGGCGGTGCCCCGGCCTCGGCGTGGGGGGGCCGGCAGCAGGGAAATAGGCCTAGGCGACCGGCAAGTCACGGCCTCTCACTGAGCCTTAGTGTCCATTTTGTGGAATGAAAGTTAAAATAATTTGTGTTGAGATTAAATAAGAGAATGTGTATAAAAGGGCCTAGCACTGTATTTGTACCTCAGGGCCCACAAATATGTGTGTGTTGTAAAATTCCATTCCAGACTCAACTGTGGACAAGCTATGTATATATTGCTATTATATTTATGAAACTAGGATCATAATGTCTGTTCTTCACTCCCTTATATGACCATGCACGGCAGAGAATAGTGTGAGGAGAATGTTACCACAAATTTAAAGGTTTTCTGCTTTTACATTTGAACTAAAAGCTTTATGTAGCTTCTGCTTACTTTGCAGTTGGACCAGGGCATCCGTTTTTCCTCTTATTTATCTCTCCTCCCTGCCACCCCCAATTTAGAAATATTAGGTATGTTTTGGCTCAGCTTGCAGTTTTCAAACTGGTAGAAGAAACAGCATGGGGCCAGGAGAACCTTTTCTATTTTAGCCCTTCTTAATGTTAATATGTCCAAAATAAACATATTCTTGAAATTAAATGCTGTGAACTAGCCTTTTAAAGCCCTAAAAGCTATAACCTCAGGTTTTGTACCAAGAGAAAGAGGAATTTAAAGTAACAGTTTTGGTCATTTCAAAATCACAGTATTTAGTGGCCAGTAAACATGGGGAAAAATATTCAGCCTCATTAGTAATAAAAGGAATATAAAGCAAAATGTTGCCAGATTATTTTACCAATAACATTGACAGTTTTTAAATGTAAGAGGAAGAAAGGAGAGGGAGAGGTGTTGAATTGGGCCCCTTGTACAGGCTGATGGAAGTATAAATAGGTATAACTTGCCCCCTCTAAAGCAATTTAACAATATATATTAAGTGCTGTAGAGATCTTAATGCCTTTGACATAGAAATTATACTTCTGGGAGCTTAGCCTAAGGAAATAATCAGAAATGGACATAAATATAATTGTAACATCAGGAACTTGGAAACAACCTAAATGTCCAACAACAGGGGATTGATTAGATGAATTGTGAAAATATATGCAGTGGGCTTTCTGCCATTAAAAATGGCAAACTACTTGGAAAAAGGATGACAGGGAAGAAGGTTTGTAAATTAATGTCAAGTGAAAAAAACCAAATCAGCATGAACCTAGTATTTTGAAATATAATCTATCTATATACACTGTGTATATGTGTGTGTGTGTGTGTATGAGTGACAACTAAAAAAACATATCAGAATGAAACATTGTCTTTAGGTGATGGGAGTGTGGGTGGCTTTTATTTTCTTCTTTGGACTCTTCCGTATTTTCCAAATTATGTTTATAATCAGAAGAAAATCTAAAATTTAAAAATGCATATGTTAGCATACTTTGTAGAATACTTGGTATACAACCAAATGAATACATAAGGAAAAAAGCCTAATGGCAATTATAACAAAATGCTGTCAGTGCTTTTGATAGGGTGATGGGACTTAGTGGTGGTGGTTGTTTTTAATATTTTTCTTTAATGTGCTTCTGTTAAGAATATGTCTTGTATTAGGAAAGCAAATATAATCTAAATGTAGAACAATACTTGAGAAACCCACGCCACATGTGAAGGGAGGTAGTAATGTCCAGATATTCTTTTGTGACTGTGGTCCATCTTGAGGATGATGAAAACTGTTAGCAATGGTGGTAAATGATAGACATTTTCTTTACTCCTACAGATATTCCTGAAATTCCAGAAAGCATCTCATTCTGTAAAGCACTACAGATAGCTGACTTCAGCGGAAACCCACTGACTAGGTAAACTTTTTGCTTGCTTTTCTGCCTATAGTACTAAGGATATCTTTTCTGAGACCCAAGCAAAGAAGACAATCAAGTTACCCATCTTGGAGGTACCTAGATGGATCACTGTCTTGATCAAGGATGGCCGACCTTCACAGATGTTTATAAGTAGCACTGCACAGTGAAAGGCACACTGCGCTATTGATGGAGCACTGAAAGGATGTTGTCAGGGGCTGAGGGGAAGCACAGTGGAGTGTAAAAGCAGGAGTGAGGAGTGCATTTCTGAAGCAATCTGAGGAATTGGATTATTTATAAATTCCTGTTGAACCCTCTTGTCTTGTGGGATGAGACTGAGTTCTAAACTCCCAGAGAGCTTACCCCATAGTTATCCAAGGAGAAGTCCTATTGGAGATATTTTTTCCACTCTAGTAATGAGACATATTTACTGTCTCATCTTTTCTCCAACTCTCCTTTTTAAAAAAAAAAAAAAAAACTCTACTGACACCATTATTCCTTACTTTAGCAATAGCTGTGAGGATTTGTTTCGTTTATCCTTCCAAATAAAGCCACCTATCACTGCTTTACTGCTGATTCCAGCTTTGTCCTTCCTGGTATGACACAGCACACTGCCTGGGCATAGCTGAGTGCTCTGTCAGAGCCCTTCTTGTGGCTCCTGGCTTGGTCATGAACCCACTGACCACTGGCTTATAGGTACCTGTGTTGCCAGGATAATTGAATTGATGCCCATGTGGCAATGTAGGACAGCCCTTGGGTGTCTGTTCCAGAGGTGTCTCTGGGCCAGGTGGTCCATTTCTAAGATTTCTCAAGGCGTTGTAAGTAGCCTCAGAAGAAAGGTACTTTTCCCTTCCCTTTCTGTTTAAAAAATTTTATTTATGTATTTTTTTAAGGATCTAGGAAAATTGAGATTGAATTTGGATTCATCTCACCCATTTCAAAATTGCTTGGGACCTGTTGAGTGTGGAGTGCTGGGGAATGCCCTATTTAGGTTTGTTTTTCCCATATCTGCTTATTTTCAAGAAGTTAATATGTTTTTTAAAATATTTCTGGTTTTCTTCTTTTGAATATCAGTGATTGTTACTAATAACATTTATTTTTATGAAAAATAGTAATCCAGTAAGTTCTAGCCCAATGGCTTTCCAACTCCTCACGGTCCTCCAGTCTTGTCCTCTTTCTTAGCCGTCCTCCATGCAGTGGTCCCTCTTCTTCAAACCTTCGTGTAGCTCCCTTTTCCCATAAGATAAAGTCCGAGCTCCTTGATGTGCTGTGCAAGCCTCCCCCACCCCCATCTGACCTTGGCCTGTCTTTCCACCTTCATTGCCCTCGTTACCTGTGTCGGACATCTCATTCTGCTGTAATAGATGCTCGTAGGTACGCATTTATTTCACTCCCCGGCTCTCTTTCACTATGCCCGTCCTTGTGCCCTCCTTTAAGGTACAGTGCGAGCATTCCATTTCCTGATTATTCCCCACGGTCCCCTCCTGGGCTTCCATAATGCTCTGTGCATACTTTTTCCACACTTTGAAATTTACATTGAAGTTATGGCTTTGACCAAGACTCCCCAACTAGACTGAGAAAGTTACCTTGTATTCTTCTATTATTTACTCTTGTATCTCCAGACCTCCTATACTTGCTGGAAATGTTTCTTGACCTGAACCAAGCTCTTCTTCCTTAAGGCAGCTTGTAGGGTTAGGCAGCTGGGAAATGCTCATTATGCTGCCCTGGAGTTTTTTTTAACCATTCAGTTGCTTAATCTCTTTTTCTTCTTCTTCAGTTTTCCTTTTCTAATGTCTCCTGACATAGGATTTCACCGTTATCTCAAGACTCTCGACTAGAACACACTCACATTGTATGAGGATTTAGTCGGTTTTTACCCTGGCCTCGTATTTGGCAGGTTTCTTAATGTGCTTTTAGTTTGGGAAGTGTGCTATTTTAAGGACTAAGACATTAACTGTGATTTAAGGGGGGACCTTAAGAGTTATTTAGTTTGGCCTACTTATTTTGTGGTTGTAGAAACTGAGGCTCAGAGAAGTTAAATGACCTTTCAAGATCATGCAGCCTCTGAGTGGTGGCTCAGACTAGAATTCCTTTCTCCTAGCCTTAGGTCTGTGCTTCCTGTCACATCATACTAGTTTGGCTCTCAGTGTTAACAGGCAGTAAAAAAGCAAGTCAGCCATTTAGAAATACATTTTCCTTATATTTAAGATCATTTTAGGTAGTTTTAAAATTATAAATTGATATATACTTGCTGGTAAAAGCTCAGGCAGAAAAGATAAGTTGCATCTTTTTAATAAAAAAATCTTACCTCTCTTATACTGTGGAAGAGGTTTCAGCTTCGTAAAAAGCATTCCTAAGAATGTATTTCAATGATTATGAAAATTCCAGTTAATACTCTCGTCTTGCAGGGCCTGGATTTGAAGTTTGGAATTACCTGTATTAAATGTCAAACAGTTAATGTAGGATTTGTTTTTTAAAGAGGAACCTGGAAAGAGGAAAGAAATGAAAGACTAATCTAGGGACTGTCGCTAATACAAGAAGTCCCTCCCCACCTCCTAAAAAATGAGTTGTGTGTTCTGTTATCAGTAAGCAGATTTATGTATGAGGACCTTCAGCATTTTAGATGCGAGGAGATCTTTTTGCCTTCAGTTGTGGTTTTTTTTTTTTTCTCCCTAAATACTGGTAACCGTAGAAATATTGAAAGTAAACTTTCTTTGTAAGTTTTTAAATAATAATTTTATTTTGAAACCTCGCTTTTCAGTAGAATTTAAGGGAAGTATAAAAAAATTTCCTTTTGTGTAGAACATAGTGAAACATACAATTATCTCAAGCGATTGGCATCTTAAATCGAATTAAAAGAAGAGTTCAAGTAGAAATTGGCTGGCAGCTGATCAATTCTAAGTAATCCATAGCTTTGCTCTGGTATAAGCTGCAGGAGAAAAGTTATTGCAGCTGTCTTGTGTTTTATTATAATCTTGTGGGCTAACATTTCTCTTTATTTTCTGCTAATCAATAAAGTGTTTTCACTCTTAGGTGCTTTGGTTGCAGCAACTATTTATCATTTTCTTTCACAGTGTACTCAGTGGTCTCCAACAATTTGTCCCCTTTATTCTTAGAGATTGCATAACTTTCCTCTTTAATTATTTCTGGATCCCCATATCAACAAGTATTTATCAGCCCCCGTACTTTTAGGTAGACCAAGTCCTTATTTTTTTTCCTTATAAATGTCTTACATATAGGAAGACAAGGCAAACATGCCATATCTAATGTAATTTTAGGGAGTTATTTCAATTAGCATGTAGAAGAAATCATTATAATTAAGTTTAGTATACACTATTTGTGCACTTTTCTTTTTCAGTTAAACATTTTGTTTTGTTTCGTTTTAGATTACCTGAAACCTTTCCTGAATTACAGAACTTGACATGTCTTTCTGTAAATGACATCTCATTGCAGTCCCTGCCTGAAAATATTGGCAAGTAAGTTTCTATGGGAAGTTTGTGTATAACAGGGTGAAAGGGCGTTTATCATCAACTCTACTCCCCTTCCCTTTTACAGCTCCGATTTTTCTACTCAGAAAGCCATCCGTCCAGTCTTGAGTATCACCCTCAAGAAAGAGCATAGCCAGTCCACTGTGTTTTTGCATATAATTGCCCCTAAATTTTAATGGTTAAAAAGAACGCTGCTACTTGTTACTAGTGAGAAACCTAATTTGTTTGGAAGCTCTCTTTAAACTGATGGATTCCAGAGTAGTTAATTTAAGCAAAGTAGCATGTGGCGTATAGGTGTTAGAAACTGCCAGTCAGTAATTTTAATCCACGTTAGAGAAGAGAGCCAATGAACGACTCCATTGAAAACTTAGTGTGTGTGCCCCTAAATAGCAGCTGTGTCTGCCAGTGTGTGTGGGCCTGGACCTGAGAATAGGGAGTGAGAATGGTGAGCTTGGAGAGCAGGCATGGAGCTGGGAGACAAGTCGAATGAGATGGGCGGACCTCCACATTGCTGGCTTAGAGGTTGGAGAGGACAGCATGGCAAGAAATAAAATTCTTCAAAGAAAGTGTATGCTGGTGAATAAATGTTTTATTATAGATTCCCACAGGTGAATTAATTGAATTATCCCAGCATATCTTTTCCACGCCTCCAGGACATAGTGGGTTAAGTCAGGCTGATGGCTCATGCTTAGCCACTTAAAATAAAAGCCCAGCGTGGCCGCCCTAACCTGGTGGACCAGTGTTCCCTAGTGTCGTAAAGGATCTCCCTTGTGCTTACCTGTTCTGCCCGAGTTCTGAGACAACAGAAACTTGCTTTCTGAGAACCGCATTGTATCTGACAGAGGTCTGTTCTACATAGGTTCTCTTTCCTGAGGTCTGCAGGAGTTTTTAGAAGAGAGCTTTGCCCCTCCTTTCCCTCCTGAGCAGGCAGAAGACAGGCGGCTGACCCCTATTTCAGCAGCAAGTCCATGTCTTTCTGAGGTGCACACTGATGTGGTAACATTATGCCAGTGGACCTGCTGATAGGAATCGTGCCCCGCAGCTCTCATCTCAGAATGGGAAGGAGGCAGGAAGCCCCCAGTCCACCTTGAGTTTATGGTACCAGCTGCAGAGGAAGCAACAGTATTTTACTGTGGATTTCATGCACTTACGCTTCACTTTTGCTGTGTCAAGTTTCATATATTTCTAATTAACATAATAGTCCTTTAGATACCCAGGCTGCTGCTGTCCTCCTCTTCCTCTCTGGAATAGAATTCCCTTGGTTCCCTCCCTCCCGTTCTTTCTCAGCTACCCCTGCCCTTCCATCCCCCAGTCATGTCTTTTTAAAAAGTTGTAATGCTTTGAGAGAAAATATGTTCTCATTAAGCCAGAGTGCCACCTGACTCCCCACTGCATTGTTTCGTTGGAAAATGTTGTTTAATAATCATTCTAGAATGAGTTACAATATTTTTTATCCTGTCTTTTCTGTAATTATCTGTACCTGTTTTTGTCAATGTTCAGGATTTCTTGTATATCTGAATTTTCTGTCAATAATAAGAGTAGTGGTTTTTTTGGTTTTGTTTTAATTTTAGACCTTATCAGCTTGTCTTACTATTATAGCTTTATGTATACTGATTGCTTCCAAAATAAAATGCCGCTTTGAACTTGATCCCTGTGGTGAATAATCATCCAGGAAGTAAGACCATGGAGGGGAGTGGAGGCGGGGGGAGGGGAATCACGTAAGTGAATCAACTGATTCTTATTAGTCAATTTGTGAAATTAAGTGGGAAATAGAGGGTTTCCTATTCCTGGTTGGTAATAATTTTTGTTACCATAGCAAGAGACATCATATTTCTCCCTGGTGGATTTAAGATTTACGCAGGCTAAAGTAACAGCCTGTTTGCACTTAGTAGTAAGAAACAGTCAAAGAACAAACTCCTCTTTGGATAAGATTGGGTGCCTCTGGTGTCCTAGACCATGCCGACAAGATACTGGAAACAATTGAAATGGTGAATTGTGGAGGAAATCTCCTATAGGCATAAGTATACTACACTTTAAACAAATCAGTATTTAAAACTTATGAATTTTCCTCATGGAAAGGATTCTTCAGTTTCCCAAAGGATTACCGAATGGTTTTTTTTTTTTTTAGAGCATTTAACCAAATATTTAGTAACCAAACAACTTCTCAGAAATAGTGGTTTCGTAAACAAGGCACAAATATTTACCATTCCAGAACATTTGAAAAAGACATGAAATGGCCATTTGAGTGATCGATACTTACTGTCACCTTGTGGATTCTGAAGTGGAGGTTTTTGCGTAGATTAACCCTACTTATTTGATCAAATGAGTCAGCCACCTCAGCATGGGCCTTTTGAGCATCAGTGAAACCAGGACCTCTGTTTCTCCTTTTGGCACCTGGCACAGTCTGTGATGTTCACCAGGAATGCTGTGGATTTCTCAAGGAATCGGGCCTCCTCAGGATGGACAGGAGTGTCCAGCCTGCAGGGGAGAGCCAAGCCTTTATCCAGGACAAGCAGACTTGCAGCAGCTTCAGGCTGGGGACACCTGCAAGCATCTGTCCATCGTGGGTTGGATTTGCCCACAGTCACAATTTAAAGAGTGTTTGGGAGCTGATGGCAGCATTAGAACTGGAGTGCGGCTCTCCTTGTCCTGGTCCCGTGTTTTTCCACGACTCCACCTGCCATCACCATAGGATAGTCAGTTCCTGGACTCAGTAACGTTTTCTTATTGCCCCTAGTGATACCCAATATTCCATTTATTAAGTAGTTAGATCCAAACAACTTGATGAGTATTTTTGTCCTAACAACCTAGTAGCTGTTTTAAGAAGTAATACGTACACATTGAAAGAATATATATTTTTATTTCACGCTTAAATATCCCCAATTATTTACTATGGGATGTGGGTACCTGTTGGGCACTGCTCAGCTTCTCAGTCTGCACCTCATTTCCTTTTCCATATGGATTTTTCACCTAGTACTTGCCTTTTATCACAGCAGTGGCTAAAAACCCAACTTGCAAAGAAATGTCCTTGAAAGGAATGTAGTGCTGTCCACTGTTGAGTTCACATGGTGTCTCAGACATTGCGTATTGCTGTGTCTCTCTCAAATGTAAGATGTCCTGTGGCGCTCCTGTTTGCTGCTGCTTCCCTGGGTTCCGTAAGCTGTTGCTATCTTGAATACTTGAGAGCACTATTGTGAATACTTGAGAGTGCACAGCCTCAGCCATTGGTGTATGGGAAGAAACCGGCGTCATGCCTAGACTACAAAGCATTGCAGCTCACGTCCTGTACTACATGGCTGCACGCCAGGTGACCATCAGGATGGCTGCTGTGATAAAGCAAGTCTCTCATAGTAGAATCTCTATAATGCTTTGTAATGAGGTGAGGAATGAGCATGAGAGTCTTTTGAACCACACACAGTGGTATACTGGCTACCTCATGTAAAATCACACATTTTTCTTTTACTAAAATAAAATTGTCCCAGATTTGCTGACCCTTCACTGTGATGCCACATTACTCAGTCCTCCAAAGTAAAGGTGGCATTTAACATTGAGTGAGAAACTAACCCACCTTCGGTGGGTTTTTTTAAACTCTTGTTAAAAATACAAAAATGCAACACCTTTTCATTAGCCTTCATGAACAAGTGATTGACATCAGGGAAGATGGTAATTTATTAGCCAAATTTCAACAAAGACCTTTCCATAATCAGAAGAAATTTTTAAAAATTAGTGTGATGACTTAATGCAGCTGATGATGCACTTCTTTTGGTTCGGTGTAACTTTGTAAAGTATCTTTTTCATCAATTACAGCTGTCAAACCAAATATTAAAACAATTTAGAATCAATTGTTGTGTCCCCAAATGTAAAATAAAAGGTTTAATACATAATATAGAATTTTCAATCCTTTTGCTCTCACTAATGAAAGCCAAAAGATGTTTGTGTCCGTAATATTTTTAAATATTTTTTCTTTTGTTTTATCTTCTACTTAAAAATTTTTGTTTCTACATATATTTGATAATATATACATATTGGTACATCTATTTTAAAAATAATTATAAGGCTTATGAAGTTATACTCTGAAATGTGTGGGGACCACCATTCTACAGTAGAATGTTTGGGAATCAGTGAAGCTCCAGATCAGTGGTTCTCAAACTCTGCTTGGTTGGGCCCCTGGGGTTCCACTGAAGTACCTCCAGGGCACTGTGGAGGGTGAGAACCAGTGCTCCGGTGGGTGGTCTCTGCTGATCCCTGTTTGCACCAGCACAGCCCTGTTATTAGCTTTTTAGTTTTTTTGTATTAGTGTTGCATATAATATTTGCTTTAGAAAAGTCTGCCGCAAATATTTTTCAAGCTCGGTTTGGAGACCACCCTTTCAGGCGCTCGGTAGCACGTACCTGTTTGTTGCAGCAGCCTGCGTGGTGGGGTTTTTATTGTGATGTGGCTCCCACTGAGCTCTGCTCAGACCGGGCAGAAAGCTTCAAACCTTGCATGAAAGGGAACTGTAGATGTTTTTACCTGCCTCCTCTCTTTCCAAGAGGCTGAGGTTTTTCCTCATTTAATGACTGAAATTCTAGCTCTTTCTTCAGGCTTTCTCCAGTGATTGGAGGAGGTGAAATAGATCCCAAATTCTCAGGTTCCCCGACCTTACCCTTTACTGCCCACACGATAAGCACTGTAGTCCTTTGTCTGTACACAGAAGTCTAGTTGTTCGGTGTTTAATTGTGTGTGTTTAATTAGTGTATGCACCTGGGTCACCTTGTCCCTGACACAGTGGGAGTCTCACTTGTTAAACCCTCTGTGTCTGTACCGACCCTGGCATTGCTCTGACGTGCTGAACAAACAGCTGTGACAGGGCGACAGGGTTACCTCCTTCACTCTGCTGGCTTCCAACCTGACGTCGTAGGTAATCCAGGAAGGTTCTGGAAGCTTTGCGTTAGTACCGCATGAGCCTGTTCCTGCACAGTCTCTTTTTTGTCTTAATACTGCACACT